GCCGCCGCCGCCGAGGTGAACCCGTGACGCGGCCTGCGTGGCCAAGTGGGCCCGGGGATGTCGGGAATGTTACCTCCGGGAAGGCCCCAGCTGCCGCCCTCAGCCCCTGGGGATGAACCTTTACCCGAGGGATGGCCCCCATGTGTGCTCTGAGGCTCTGGGGATGTGGCTTTACCTCAGGAAAAGGCTCGGGGCTGGCCCTTTACCTCAGGGCTGGCTCCAGCAGCTGCCCTGAGGCTCTGCAGATGAGCTTTTGCTCAGGGATGAGCCCCAAGGGCCACTTTGAGGCCTCGGGGATGGGTCTTTACCTCAGGGATGGTCCCCAAAGGTGCCCTGAAGCTCCAGGGATGGGCCTTTCCCTCAGAAATGGCCCCGAGGATGGGTTTTACCTCAAGAGTGGACCCAAAGGGCTATCCTGAGGCCCTGGGGATGGGTCTGTACCTCAGGGCTGGCCCCAGTTTGTGGCCCTGAGGCCCCAGGGATGGGTCTTTTCCTCAGGAGTTGTCCAAGAGATTGGCCTTTCCCTCAGGGAAGGCCACAGCAGCTGCCCTGAAGCCCCAGGAATGGGCCCCAAGGGATACCCTGAGGCCCTGGTGTTGGGTCTGTACCTCAGGGCTGGCCCCAGTTGCCTCCCCAAGGCCCTGGGAATGGCCTTTACCTCAGGGAAGGCCCCCGTGTGTGCCCTGAGGCTCTGGGGATGGGCCTTTACCTCAGGAATAGACTCAAGGCTGCCCCTTCACCTCAGGGTAACCCCAGCAGTAACTCCAAATCTGTACAGATGGGCTTTTACTCAGGGATGAGCCCCAAGGGCTGCCCTGAGGCTCTGGGGATGAGTCTTTACCTCAGGGATGGCCCCCAAAGGTGCCTTGAGGCCCCAGGGATGGGCCTTTACTTCAGAGATGGGACCAGGGCTGCCTGGTTACCTCAGGGCCACCCCAGCAGCTGCTCCGAATCTGTACAGATGGGCATTTACTCAGGGATGGGCTCCAGGGGTGCCCTGAGACTCTGGGGATGGGCCTGTACCTCAGGGATGGCCCTGAGCTGCCTTTTCGGTCTCCTGTGCCTCCTCCTCTGGCGCAGGCTCCCGTTGGTGCAGCCAGTGTTGTTCACGGAGCAGGGATCTGTTTATTTCCTTAACAAAATCCCTTGGTTTTGTGTCGTTACACGTGACCCGTGAGGTTTGAGCTCCTGTTCTCTCAGCCCCAGGGGCTCTGTGCAGGAATCGCTCTTGTGCTCTTATCCCTCTTAGATCAGCCCTGAGCTCCAGCAGCTTCTGCTCCCCCTTGCATCTCCTTTCGCAGCTCAGTCCATGGCTCTCTCTGCTCTCTCCCACCTCCATCTTCCAGCCCGCCCCGGTACATGCCAATAGCTACGTGTCTGGTAGTTTTGATCATTCTCGCTCTAATTCTGCAGCCTTTCACTTTCCCCCAGCTCTGTTTTCTATTTTGAAGGCCGATAACTGCATTTTGGCTCCTGCATAGGTTGTTACCGTGCCGAAGCACGGAGCCATCCATATTTTTACACAGCCCTTTGCCTGTACTGTCAGGGGCAGGGGTCTTCCCCAATTTCGGGTCGCATCAGGTTGCCTGCACAACGCGAGCTGCTGTCTCGAGCTTCCCCAGAGCTCTCTGGGCTTTGAACACGCCAAGTTTTGTGGCGTTTTGGGTGCCGTTTCCTCTGTTCTGTTATTAATGCACATAAATTATTGCTCCTCGAGATCTTGATCTGTGTAAATCCCTACTAAAGATCCATGTAAGGTCTTTTTTTCCCCTTCCCTCTGCCTTGTAACCTGCTCGTGTAAAGGTTGGCAGCACGACGAAGGGCAGCCCAGCGCGTGTTTGTGCCCAGGAGGCCGACAGAATCAGAAAGCTGATTTTTTTTTTGGTCAGATCTTCAATTGGACTGGACCTGACCTGCCTATCAATAATGCATGACCTGGGCTTTCTGCACCGAAACTCTGCTAATTGGCTAATTAAAAAGTGAAACGTGCAGAAGGAGCCGACGCGGCGCTCACAAGAGACATTTCCTACAGCAATGCTGGGGCTGAGCGTGTGCTAATGCGCTTTAGCAAACGGAGCTGGGGACGAGCGAAGCTCTGGGGTAGGCTCAGGAGCCGAGAGGATGATTTC